TCTTGGAGTCACCGGTTCCCACAATTTTTTTTTTTGGTCTCCTCCTGTCGTTGAGGCATTTCACAAAGTCAGAAAACTCACGTTTTACACTATTCGTTTGAAAATGCTATCTATCCCAACTCACTTAATAAAACGTTTTGTCTTCTCTTGCATTCCTCCATACTGGTTTTATGCATCCCCAGTTATTTTTCCGGGTTTTTTAATCAAAGACTTCAGACATATATGTACCTCGGGAGAACAGAGCTGTATGCTACCGAGCGCGTCCCCAGGTCGCAGATAGGGGAACGGCCGTCATCTCGCGGCTAACTGTGAATAAGTTGGGCTCCGGCCTGCTGAATAAACGGTCGCGGACGATCGACGGCAGCGTTCGAGGATGTGGTGAGTTTACTCCTGGCAAGGGTTTCCCGCACAAAACACCACGTATATCTGTGGACAGCTCTGTGACGTGGCAAGTGTGGTCCGCCACTAAATATGGTCAGTGCTCCTTGTCGAGATCCATTGCTCGACAAGGTTTTCCAGAAGAGGCGAATGAACCGAAGACTGGTCACCGGCTGCCTTGCAGTCCGCGTTTGGTTGCGCAAAGGCAAGAGTGCATCCTCGAACAAGACCTACCCCGGACCGGGTGACCGAGTAGTACACTAGCCCGCAACGCATACAACCCATGAACCTTGCTGTTACGATTATGCACTCTGATGCTTCATCCTGCAAAAAACATTCTACACCGTACACACTCTCTTGTTCTCCCAGCCTCCCCCCAGCTCATCTCTACCTCCCCAACACTCCTCCATCTCGCCCGGGTGCTTCAGACGACTACTACTAACAGTAGTGCCTCGGGCGGAAATTGTGCCGCTGTTCACTCTTGTCCTACCTCGACTTGCATTCAAGTCTCACCGAATCCTCCACCGGTTGAAGCCCTTCTTCTCCTTCGATGTCCCTTCAAACTAGCCACATTTAATGTGCGTACTCTCATGCGTATAGGACAACAGGCGCGTTTAGCTCATACGCTCGAAACCCTAGCCATCGATGCGTGTTGTATCCAAGAGACTCGCATTCAAAACTGCAGCTCCATTATCCGATTGACGTCCCCGTTAAACCCATTAGTGAAGTTTCACTTACGCCTATCTGGGGACCCTGAGGCTGCGGTTTCCGGTCTCACTGGTGGTGGCGTTGCTCTCAGTGAGAGGGTTGAGGTCACCCTCCTGGACTGGATCTCAGTCGACAGTAGGTTGTGCGCAGTGAGACTCAGAGGTTCGTGCAAGATAAGCAGCCGTCGCCACGACAGACGAAACTTTTCTGTCGTTTCGGCGTACGCTCCAACGGACTGCAGCTCAGATGCGGTCAAAGATGGATTTTATCACAACCTTCACAACCTCTTGTGTAAAGCGACCTGGGCTGACATCGCTATTTTAGCTGGAGATATGGATGCTAGAGTAGATCGGTTGACTTCGAGTGAGGCGCACCTGGGAGGTCCTTTTGGACTAGTTTCCTATCGCTCGGAAAACGGGGAGCGGCTGTTGGCTCTCTGTTCCTCGCCAGTATTAACTTCAGACGCTCCAATTTCCGGTATGCCACCTGGCGTCCGCCCTCCTCGAGTCAGCGACGAACACAGATCAACCACATTGCGATAAGCCACAAATGGCGGGGTTGCATTCAAGACTGCCGATCGTACTGGGGCACTACCCTCGAATCCGGCCAC